AAAAATTACACAAATGAACTTATTTACGAAACAGAAACAGACTCCCAGACACAGAAAACAAACTTATGGTTACCAAGGGGGGAAAAGGGTGGGAAGGGATAAATTGGGAGTTTGAGATTTGCAGATACTAACTACCATACATAAAATAGATAAACAGTAAGTTTCTACTGTATAGCACAGGGAACTATATTCAATATTTCGTAGTGACCTATAATGACAAAGAACATGAAAAGGAATATATGTACGTATGTGTATGACTGAAACATTCTGCTGTACACCACAAACTGATACAACATTGTAAACTGACTATACGTTGATAAAAAAAATTAAAACATTTAAAATATGAATCTGTCAAATATTCTTTTGTCAACACCAAAGACACAGTGCTGAGAAATCTTATTCTCTAAAATCAGAGGCTGTCAGAAACTTTACTGTTTGAAATCGTGTCAGTGAGAATGGAACATCCCCCTTTGTCTAGTGGGGTGAAGCCAGATTCGACATAGAGAAGCAGCCTAGATCACCAACCCAGGTGCAGAGCTTCAGAAAAGGGGTTTCTGGACACTCTAGTCTATGTTGATCTTAACTTTGTGGTGTCCAAAGAAATAGGACTATGAGCTCGCTTCTCAGCACAAGTCAGATAGATGTTAACTCCTTTCCACACAGTCAGGCTTGCTTTGAGCCTATCAACACTGCTTCTTCATTTTCATCTAAATTCCACCTTGCCCCCAAATCCTATGATAACCCTGTTAATTTGTTTGGCTCCTCTGGGTGCTGTCTCCCTTGCTGCATCAAGTTAATAAACCAACATAACTTTGTTAAGCTATACCTGTGTTCCTGCTGGTCTTTACCAGATTAGCTTTATCATAAAATCTAAGCCTTCTCTGTTCATTCATTTACCCATTGATTCACTTAGTGAATGTTTACCCAGCCTATGCTCGTTTTATGTGCTGGAGGCACGGTAAGAGGACAGCGAAGGTCCTTGTCCTTGTGGGCCCTCCTTCTAGTGGATGAGATAGAAGAATGAACAGGTAATAAAAACAGGGTAACAGGCTATAACAGGACTGGATGGGTGCTTTTAGAAGTGGGGGCAGTGTAGCTCTGGAGAGACTACAGTTGAGCTAGAGCCTGGAAGAACAGATCCAGGAAAGAGTGCTACAAGCAGAGATCAGCAAAAGCAGTGAAGATGAGCTTGTCAGGTTTCCAAGATAACAGGAAGGCCAGTGTGCTTGAAGCAGACAGAGTGAACAAGGAGGGTGGGGAGAGATGAAGGATGTGGGGCAAAATATAAAGTTTAAGTTTTGTCCCAAACATATATACTTTTCATATAAATTTATAGACCTAGAAAATTAGAGCTGCTCTAGGACCCAAAGGGCTTTCCCTCCCACCTCCCCATCCCTCCTGCCTGAGCAGTTTTCTGAAGCATTCCCAAAGAATCTAAGAATTGGAGGTGGGCAGGAATGACAATTGGAAG